ATAGAGGTCTGCTGCTTCTCTCTGTTTCTTCTGCATGCCTTGTTGCTGACCAAATCCAGACAGGGAAACCTTGCCCGAGCTCACGAGACCCCCCTCCCCAGCCTCATCCGCCCGCCCCTCGACCCCGGATATTTCCAACGAGATCGAGTACCTCCCGGACCGCCAAACCTCCTCAATGGTGTCTCTGCACACACCTGCAACCTATCTTTGAGCTAAGCTACGACCAAGCTCAACAACCACCACCAACCACCCCTCCTCCCTTCTTCCTCCCACACACACCGACCATGTCGTCAACACCAGTCAAGGTCCCGCCATCCGCGGCAAACCACTCCGCCGCAACCCTCGACCCCGACCTACGATCCCAGATCAACGCCCACCTCCTCAAAGACGGCCACGTCCAAAAGTGAGCCCTCCCTCCCCTCCCATCCCCTCCTCCCCTCTCCCCAAGCTAACTCTCTCCCCCTCCCCCAGAATCCAAGAAGTCCTCCTCCACTCCCTCCACTCCAACAAGGGCGACTGGCCCACCCTCGTCCAAGCCCACGCCCTCAGCCTCCTCCGCTCCGGCGAGGTCACAACCTTCTCCGCCCTCCTCGCCCGCGTCCTCGAAGACGTCCGGAACGACACCCAAGCCCGCGCCGCCGCCGTCGCCTCCGGCACCGCCCATGTAAAAACAAACGGCGCAAAGCCCACAAACGGCGCCTCCTCCGACCCGAAACCTCCTCTGGCAATGCCGTCTGGCGTCGTGGACGACATGCTCAAAGTCGTCCGCGAGAGCCTCGACTCGGTCTGCGAGATTGAAGACGCGGGTCCTAGCTGAGCCCGCCTCCTTCCCGATACCATCATGTCGACAACACATCAAGACACGAGCCAAATACATCATCAAACTCCCACATCCGACTCTGTACCTCCATCTAAACACCTCACCTCCGGATCATCATACCCATCCACCCAGACAAACGGTGCCTCTGCCAAGACACGGCCCACCATTTTCCTCACCCACCTCAACCGAATACCCTCAATAAATCACCTCCACCACCGGCCGCCGTGCCATGCAATCAAATCACTACCCGAACCATCAATACCTCTCTGGCTCCTGGCGCTTCGATCCGACGGCTTCCACTCCGACTCCGCCTCCGCCCCCGCCTCCGGGCACACCCCTCCGCACTATTCTCGGCGATGGTGCCTCCGGCCTCATCAGCCGACGGAACCAGAGGCCACGACACAGACACACCGCCACGCGACGTGTCCCCTCTTTTGCTTTCACTGCTGCCTTTTTCAGGATGGACCAGGTCTGGCTTCATGCCCAATTTATCAGATAGCCCCATCCGTAGAGGGTCTATCCAGGGGTGTTTTGGCGTCAATACGATACTTGCACTACAGCAAAACCCCACAGGGTTGCTTAAATCACATCATCACTCGGACCACTCGCAACGTGCATCTGTAAACGTAATCGACTGACTACCTGTCTATCAGTCTATCAACTCCCTGTTTCCCTCCCGGGCCCCGGTCGGAGGTGCAAGCTCGACCCCAAAAACCTGCCCAGGTCTCTGTTGCGTGATGCTGCCGTGAAGTAGACTCTGGAAGGAAATACTAGAATACACCGAAGATCGATCCCACCTCTCCGCGCTTACGAGTCGTACAGGTCATCATCGTTGCCGGCATCGCCGAAGCTCTGCACCGCGGCGGGACCGGAGCTCTTCATCTGCTGAGCAAAGGCCTCGTAGCGGCGGATCTCAACGTCCGAGACGGACCTCCTGGCCATCAGCATGGCCTCCTCAAAGTGGCGCTTGGTCAGCTCGGGGACCGGGTCCTCGGCGTCCTCATCCATAGCCTCCTCGCCAGCCTCCTCGCGAGCCTTGGTGCGCTCAATGTCGAAGGTGATGGACTCCTTGATGGCGATCTTGACGGCGCGCTGGGTGATGAAGCCCAGATCGGCACCGGAGAAGCCGTTGGTGCGGGCCGAGATCTCCTTGAGGTCCACGTCGGCGGCGACGGGCGTCTTGCGCAGCTGGGCGCTGAGAATGCTCAGACGGCCAATCTCGTCGGGGAGGGGCACGTAGATGAGCGAGTCCAGACGACCGGGACGGCACAGGGCGGGGTCAAGCTGCTCGGGCCTGTTGGTGGCACCGATGACGAAGACGTTCTTCTTGGAGGTCATTCCGTCCATCTCTGCAAGGGTTGTTAGTCATGTTCAAATTGGGTAAAGTTATGTTTACAACTTACCAGTAAGGAGCTGGTTGACGACGCGGTCCGAGGCACCGCCGGCATCGCCGACAGAGCCGCCACGAGCCTTCGCAATAGAGTCGAGCTCGTCGAGGAAGACGACGCAAGGGGCGGCGGCACGAGCCTTGTCGAAGATGTCACGAATGTTGCTCTCCGACTCACCGAACCACATGCTGAGAAGCTCGGGGCCCTTGACGGAGATGAAGTTGGCAGCGCACTCGTTGGCGACAGCCTTGGCAAGCATCGTCTTACCAGTACCGGGGGGTCCGTAGAACAGGACACCGCGGGACGGGGACATGCCGAACTTGAGGAACTTCTCGGGGTGGTCGACGGGGTACTGGACGCTCTCCCTGAGGTCCTGCTTGACCGACTCGAGACCACCGATATCCTCCCAGCGGACGTTGGGCACCTCGACAACGGCGACCTCGCGGAGAGCCGAGGGGTTGGAGACGCCGAGGGCGAAGCGGAAGTTCTCCATGGTGACACCAAGGGAGTCGAGGACCTCGGCGTCGATGGTGTCCTCATCAAGGTCGATGAGGTCCATCTTCTCACGAATCTGCTGCATGGCAGCCTCGGAGCAGAGGGCGGCAACATCGGAACCGACGTAACCGTGAGTCTCGGCAGCGATCTGCTCCAGGTCGACGTCATCACCAAGCTTCATGTTCTTGGTGTGGATCTGCAGGATCTCAAGACGGCCAGTTGGGTCGGGGACGCCAATATCGACCTCGCGATCGAAGCGGCCGAAACGACGGAGAGCAGGGTCGATCGAGTTGGGGCGGTTGGTCGCAGCCATGACGACGACGTTGGAACGGGCCTTCATGCCGTCCATGAGGGTCAGGAGCTGGGAGACGACACGACGCTCGACCTCGCCGTTGGTCTTGTCACGCTTGGGAGCGATGGAGTCGATCTCGTCGATGAAGATGATGGCGGGAGAGTTCTTCTCGGCTTCCTCGAAGGCCTTACGCAGGTTGGACTCCGACTCGCCGGCCATCTTGGACATGATCTCGGGTCCGTTGATCAGGAAGAAGAAAGCTCCCGTCTCGTTGGCGACGGCGCGAGCCATCAGCGTCTTACCAGTACCGGGAGGACCGTAGAGCAGGACACCGCGGGGCGGCTTGATACCGATGGACTTGAAGAGCTGGGGGTGGCGGAGGGGAAGCTCAACCATCTCGCGGATCTGGGCCATCTGCTTCCTGCAGCCACCGATGTCGTCATAGCCGACCTCGTTCAGGTTGTTCTCCTCCTCTTCACGCTGGATGGGCTCGCCCTCGCAGTGGATGACGGTGTCCTGTGCGACGATACCGTACTCGGGGGGATCGACCTCGACGACCTTGAACTCGACTTGCCTCATGCCACCACGGACGATGAAAAGATCGCCCTGGCGCACGGGCCTGTAGGCTTCCCGGAAGTAGGGAGCGAGGAAGACGTCAAACAGCGAGCCGGTGATACCCTCGACGGTGTCGGCAATGGGCAGCACAGCGATGCGCTTGGCCTGTAGGGAGAGGCTGGTCAGCGGGAGCACGCAAGGAGAAGCATGGGAAAGAGGAAGGTTCGTACGTATTTGATGTCAGGGCACGGGTGGATGGTGATCATGTCACCGTGCTTGACGCGGAGGTTGTGGCGCACCACTCGGTTGATGCGAGCGCTGCCATCGTCCAGCTCCTCATCGGCGAGGACGATCAGGACGGTGTCCTTTCTCTTCTTGCCGCGGACGAGAACGGTGTCGCCGCGGAAGAGCTGGAGAGTCTCCATGGTGGCCTCGGAGAGGGCGATGATGGAGTTGTCGTCGTTGACGGCATCGGTGACCCTGAGGATTTGTCAGTCGGTGGCGTTTGGAGGTGGAGATGAGCTGAGGCTCGAGGCAGGACGTACATGAGCTGGTTGGGCTTCTTCTTCTTCTTCAGGATGGCGGTGGCCGTGTCATCTTGCTGTGATGGATTGTCAGTATCGTCATGATCCCGAGAGGGCAGGATGCGGAAGGAACGAACATCCTTGGGCTCGGCGCCGGTGTTATCCCTGGAGCAAACAAATATCAGTACGTGATGCGCATTTCGGGATCAGAACGCTCTCGGGGAGACTCACTGCAGGTTCACCTGCTTCTTCTTCTCCGGCTGGTCCGCCATGGCGTCCGTTTGTGTGTGATGAGGATGTAGCGGGATGGAGGAAGGTGGTTTGGGGTGAATCGAAAGCGGGCGCGGGTTGCGTGCGGGTTGAGTTGTGGGAGAGGATTGAATTCCCAGAATCTCGCAGCGCGCTTAAAGATTTGTAGTGAGGCGAATTCCCAAAGGCCGTGGAAGGTTGTAGAGGCCGGTGGGTTGGAAAGGGAAGGAAGGCGGAGGGTTGTTGTTGGATGGAAGGAAGGTTGATGGGTATTGGGGGAGAGCTGTCCAGAGTGATGAGGCAGGTCCGACGCCAGGAGGCCAGGCCAGTTCTAGTGTACGGCGGGCAGGTACGGCGCGGCGGTAGCAGGCACACGCAGGCGGTGGTGGCCTGGTGGAGCGGGCCAATGAGATCATAACGAGGGCCGGAACAAGGATGATACGGGGCATTTTGGCGTTAGGTAAGCCACCCCGGCGTCGCCCCCGTGGCCACAGCTCTCTGATTCAGGCGCGGGCAGAAGGCATTGGAAGCTTCCACCTCACCGCAGGCAGCCGGTGGCCACGCAAACGGACTGACCCACCGAGCTCACCGAGTTGACTAATCACGACAAATCGGCGGGGGAAGCAGGGGAAGCACCCGGGTGGACAACCAATGGGCAAAAAGGCCAAAAAAGAACACGACACCTGAGTGATTCGAACACTCGCGGGCGAACCCAATGGCTATCTCCGCTAACTGGTAGCAGGCCATCGCCTTAACCACTCGGCCAAAGTGCCGAATGACGATGCATTGGTGAAGGGACGAGGTCTGGGGTGGTTTATATTACATTCTTCAACATCACGACGACACATGTCGCACACCCCGACTCAACACAACTACTCTCGTTAAATGGTTCAATTGATTCCTATTGTTTCTTTGGGACACATGAATGAGAAGTCTTCTTGGGTGGCACAAACAAGGCAAACGCAGTAACACATCAGAACGTAAAATCAGGCGCCCGAGAAATCGCCATCTGCAGAGGCCAAGTCGGCCTCTTCACCCTCCATCCGCCCCTCGATCCCGCCTCAAACTCGACACCCGCCTCCCTGGGCAAGTCGCGCGGCATCGGCAGAACCTGGAAAGGCGGCTTGTCAAGCTCCCCGAAGCCACGAATCCGCATATCACGGTCAGGCAAGCCCATCATCCTGCGCTCCAGGCGATTGCCGCCCCATGTAGGAAGCGCCTCATCAGCCCATTCATATGGAGCTGCCGCGACGACTGTGACATCGAACGTATGCCGACGGACCGGGGAGAAGTTCGCTCCATGATGACGGAAATGCCTGTAATTATCAGCCGTGCAGACAAATATCCGACACCGAATCGGACATACCCGTCTTCATGCGCCTCGTCCGTGGAGGCAGTGGACCCCCATTCAACGCTGGTGGAGGAGGCGTAGTTCATCAGTGAAGGTGGTGATCAGGATACTCGACTTGGGATGACACCGAGGATCTGAAGATCTCGAATGTCCTACATTTCCAAGTTGCCACCCGCGGAGCTTTATAAACTTACTCTTCGCGTTACACTGACAGACTCGCATCCGGCCTCGAACAGGTCGAAAACTGAAGCAGTCCGCCCACGCGCCTGACTGCGAACCGTGAAAGTGCAAGGCAATCAGGCAGTGCCGCCCCCAACGTCGCCTGACGCTTCACCCACCTACCAGCACCCGCATACACGCCGATCAGACTCTGCCTTGGGAGAAATCAGTTGATTTCCAGTCAGCCTGAACACATCAGTTGCTGCTCTTTGCGCGACGATAGGTCCATGTTCAGTCAGCCTTCATGCAGTGCCGTTGCTTCTGCATCCCGACACAGGCGGCCTCCCTTCACCTCACCGTACCACATCTCCATACTTCATCATACTCAGACCCAGGCCTCTCGGCCTCATTCATTTTACTACCTCCCTATGCTCGCTCTACGACGAGCTTCCGTCTGCTCATATCAATGCCCCGACGCCGCCGCATGCAAGACGTGTAAAAGCAAAACAAGCAAGGTGAATCCGCTCCAGGCACGCCGGCCTCTCAAACTCAAACTCAAACAAAAACCGTGAAGAAAAGCTTGCCCGCTCGCCATGTCATGTCTCAATAATCCGCGTCGTCTTCCGACTCGGCTCCGCGGTACCGCATCTCCAGCACCCACTGGTCATCAAAGTCGATGCCCCGTCGCAGCTTGGTGCCGGCCTTCTTCCACACGGCCGCGCCGAGACCAATGTCCGCGATGAACAGCTTCCAGTCGTCGTCCTCCGCCAGGGGTCCTCCGCGCGCTCCGTTCTCGAGGCCGTCGTCCGCAGGCGGCGCCATGGCCTCGAGGAGACCTCGCTTCGGCGCGCCCATGGCCACGATGTACCGCGGCTTGACGTAGAGACTGCCTCCGTCGATGATGCTGACCTTGCCCGTCGAGGGGTCGATGCCGGTGGGCACGTCAACGGCCAGGGTGAAGGCCTCGTTGCGGTTGGCCCACTCGATCAGCTCGTACACAGTCGTCTGGTCGCCAGTCCGCAGCTCCTCGAAGGAGATGGCGAGGCCCAGCAGCGCGTCGACGATGAGGGTCACCGATGAGGCGGGTGATGCCGATGTGTGAGACGCCCTGCGCAGGTGGTCGAAGAGGTCGATCTTGGTGTAGATACGTCCGCCCAGGTTCCTGAACACCCGGATCTGCTGTCGCATGTCCTCCAGCAGGTCGCGCTCCCGCTCGATACCCACGACGCAGACCAGCAGCTGGACGCCCTTGTTGCGGAGGTGACGAGCCGCAGCCACAGCGCGGATACCGGACTTGTTGTTGCCGGCAAGGATGACCACGGTGGCAGCACTGGGCGGCGTCGGTGTCGTCTGGTGGTTGGCGCCTCCCGTTCCGAGCCGAACCTGGATGGCTGGGTCCTTGAGTGCGACAAGTACAACCTGGGCGATACCGCGTCCTGCATTCTCCGCCATGACGTCCTCGCTCAGACCGATCTCGTTGGCCGCAATGTTCTCCAGATTAAGCATCTGCAGCGCAGAGACTGTCTCCGCGCGGATACCGGACGGCTGGAGGTAGAAGCCCGGCTGGGCACCCTGTGCCGAGTGAGTCCTGGTGATGGGCATGCCTGACGCGCTCGCCTTACGGGATTGCGATCGCTTCGACGCGCCAGGTTTGCTCTCCGTACGGCGCATGCTCTGCGCGCTCCTGACGTCGCGCCCACTAAGTCGCTCGCCGTTGATCGCGTCGTCCGCCTCGCTGTTCCAGAAATCGTGGGCCGTCTTGGGGATAGCCGGCATGTCCAGAACGTTCTCCGTGTAGTGCAGGTTCTTGCCGCCTGCCGTACCGGGCTTGGCCAGCCTGTTGTGACCGACGAGGCGATCAGCCTCGCTGACCTTGTCGTCCTTCTGCATCTGATCGAAGATTGATCGCTTGTCAAATTTGGCCAGGCCACCCTCAAAGTCGAACTCGCCCATCTCCTCCGTCACGTCCTCGGATGCCCAGCCGTTATCGAGGGCGCCCTTCTTGCCGGACTGCTTGAGAGCCTTGAACGGTTGGAAGGAGGCGGTGCTCTGCAGGATCGGTGTCTGTCTCCAGCCCTTGCCACGGCCGCCCTGGCCCGACTGCGAGGGAGATCCTTCAAGGATGGTGTCTTCCTGCAGGCCGCTGATCTTCGAAGCCCTCTGCTGCTTTGACTTCCGGTTGCGCTTCTTAGTCGCAGTAGTGGGGGTCTCGGGAATGGTAGGCGCAGTGGTATCGGTGTATGCGACGGGCTCGTCATTCACTTGCATCTCTTGGATGTTGCTGGCGAGGATGCTTGTCGGAGTCTCGGTCCTGGGTGCACCCGTGACGGAAGCTGTGGGCAGCACTGCGGGCTGGCTAGGCTGAGGTCCGGGCAGCTCCACCGGATGAGATGGGATGGTGTGCACCCTGGCCGAGCTGTTGGTCCGCGACACCGGGGCAGACCTCTTGCCCAGGCTCACGATGGCCGGATCCACAAAAGAAGGCTGCGCGACGGGGACGGGGGCAGGAGCAGGCGCGGGGGCAGGCGCGGGGGCCATGGCCGGGGCGGCAAAGGTGGTTGGGGGCACCTGTTCCTTATACTCGGCGACGTCCGCGATATTGCCCGGCTCGAGTGTGAGGCGTGGAATCCACTTGTCGGTGCCGAGGTGGAAGACTGCAATACTTCATCAGCTAATGGCCCATAGGAAGGAAACAAAAAAGGAAAGAGCATATCCTACCATTGCTCAGCACCAAGCTCGCGCCGGGCGTGACCTCGCTGACGGTTCCCTTGAGCTGCACGCCCGAAGGGTTCCGCAGCGTCACCATCATCTGCAGGCCGATGAAGTCCATCTCGACTGTGTCGCGGGGTGCTGCACCACCAATGGAGAAGGTGTTTCTTGCCGCAGGGTGTATGCGCAGACCCGTCTTGGGGTGGCAAGGGGCGTGCAGTGATTGGGTGGTGTATCGGACGCGAAAGCAGGACGGTCGGGCTGAGGCTCTGCAGGAGGAAGTCGGTGATATTGAGGAGAGAGCGCGGTCGCTCCTCTTGCGCGTGAAGGGGGAGGGAAGAGGAACCGCGGGAATATCGATTGACGCGGAACGGCGGCGAGGTCGTTCGGCGGACAGATGTCTGAAGGAGGTGGTCTAGGTCAAGGTCAGGTCAGAGCTCCCCCCCTCCTACGAAACTACGAAAGAGTGACCTTCCTCCTGCCACTTCGCTCGCTTCTTTTTTCTTATCGATAAGTGGGCTCATCGTTTTAGCGTGATCCCTTGACGGGAGGCTGTTGGTTGCACCGCAGCGAGACCAGTGCGCCGGCACGGTCCACATTTAGACCGGACGGACGCTGGGCTGAGGACTGTGGGCGCTGTGGGCGCTGTGGACGCTGAGGGGTGAACGCTGTGCTTCAACCCCCAGGCGCCTCAGCCCAGGGCGTCCGTCACATCACAGCCGCAGCTAATTTTGGCCCTGTGCTGCCCGAGGTAAGACAGCACACGACCAGCAAGCAGAATGACCGGCCACATATCGGTATGCCAATGGGAGACTGATGATTCATGTGTGAGATCCTCCCTGCCGGCCCTTTGGAGATCCGTCTTTGATCCCTTCACGACAACATCCCATCCTTTGTCATCCCCGTCAATGGCTCGACTTCTTTGTTATCAACAATTCTTGAGGTACACATGGCCGGCCGCCCAGAATTTGTCTCTGGGGGCGACTATGCCTACATCTACCTCTGGATATAACCGCCCCAACGACCCGATGTCGCTCCTCTTCCTGAAACGCCTGCCCATGCAAAACACCCATGTTTGATCCTGCCGATAACCTGTCGTTCCGGGCCTCATCCTGAGTCTATCCATATGCGTGCATCATGGCCAGCTCCTCATCTCCATCCACCTCGATCGACTTCTTCTTCTGCACATACGCCGCCATGCTGCTCGCCTCCTTCTCAAACTTGGGCTTGGCGTACGCATACGAGGCTATCGACACTGGCTTCTTCATGTCGGCCTGGTCGATGGATGAGAGCTGGTCGTAGAACTGGACAACCCGCTGGTGGGCCATGACTCTGTGCTTCTCGAACCGCAGCACCTGCAGTCCCTGCTGTGTGGTGGCGCGACTGAGGGCGACGTATGCCTGACCCTTTTCGAAAGCCTTGCCGAGATCGACCTTGACCCTCTCCAGCGTCTGGCCCTGTGCCTTGTGGATCGAGAGCGCCCACGCTAGAATGAGGGGCACCTGTAACCGGGACGCCTGAACATCGCCACTAGGGAGCTCGACCTTCCACTCT